CCCCAAAACCCCAAAACCCCAAAACCCCATAACCTGCACAAATATTGAAGCATTCGCTTAATTCAAAGTTTTTCTTAAAGGCTTGATTCTTTGTTCACGGTTGATTTTCTTAAGGAGAAGACCAGAGAAGTCTTTCTTTTTTGGTGAAGCGAGGGATTGGGAAGGGATTTTGGAGGATTTTGGGGGGATTTGGATGGGGTGGGGTTTGGAAGTGGAGGATAGTTTTCTTTTGAGGGGTTTCTTTGAGGATGAATTTCTGAATTGTTGGATCTTGTCAGCTTTGATGTAGGATACGCCAAGTAAGCCCATTGTTTTCTTGATCTTTGAAGGGGCTTTATTTCATAGGGATTCCATTTGTTGCGTCGTTACTGATTGTGAAGGAGTCACTGTCGGATATGGGTCTTTGGGATAATGATTCTTTTATTCTCTGATTTGGATTCTGGCCGATTTGTCCAAAACCTTGATCTAGGAGATTGTAACTGTCTAAATTAGGCTCAATTTCTGTGCTCATATATTGTCCTACTCCTTCACTTAAAGCATCACGAATTTCATGTTTCTCAATTCCCTCTTTCACTGGTTGAAAATCTTTTTCTTCTGGAGAATAAACATTGGCTGATGAAACAATATTTGCTTGTTCTCCATCTTGGATAAAGTTCTCTTTTGATTCTTCAGAATTATCGTTTTCCTAAAGGTATAGCGATGTTTGCTTTAAAGAAAGGATCTTACTTCTTTTATTTGATCTCCATCGTCTAGTGTGACTCTATTCTTAGTTTCTTGTTGACACTGAGCTTGCACTTCATTAAAAGCCTTGGCATACATTTTACTTCTCTTGCTCATATTTTTATTCAAAGGGATTTCAGTGGTGGCTATACAGGTTATGATTAATTACACAGATTTTTTAAGGATTTGGACCTTTTTCTTTTGAGATCTTGGAAATCAATAGATTGAAACCTCAAAAGATCAGGATCACCAGAGTCCATTTCATCGGCATCCATTACAAATTCGTCTGGAAGGTAATATACATCATCTTTTTCTTCATCTTCCTGGTTATCACTATCTTCTGCTTTCTGGGACTTCTCACATTTATCTAAAATCTGGCTAAATCCTCATTCAGATCTCGTCTCTTTATTTATATAATCTAAACCCAGTTGCTCATAGTCTATATATACAAAATGTGAAATATAATCCTAAGTATCATGCCAGATGTGTGCAAGAAAGTACTTTCATAGTAGTTATTGATACACTTCATCTTATTTTAAATAATCTCTCTTACATAACTTCTAAAATCTAAAAGAGCCCAGCTAGGCGTAAGAAGTTTGAAATATAGGTATTATAACACTCAGAAAGATTCTTCTGGTTTTTAGCATAATATTCATGCTTTAAGGTTAGTGAAACTCTATTTTTAAATATAAGATGGACTGGTTATTCTTAAACTTCAAATTATTTGCAGCCATAGAGCTCTATCTGGGCTTAATAGCTAGATATTGGTAGTTCTCCCCACTTAGAAGGGTTAAAAATTAGCTTGTAATTTTATTCGAATAGTATTGACTTCTTCTAATTTTGGTATTTGGTAAATAAGTAATTTGCACTGATTTTAATTGAATAAATTTATTTTGCTATGTAAGCAGTATTATTACCAAGAAGAGCGTGATTGTTCTGTTTCCTACTAGATTTCATTGCACGGGTATTTAGAAGTGGCGTGTCATTTTGAGAGTCTCCAAAAATCCCAATATTTATCGATGGAGTCCATTCTTCTCTACTGGGACCTATAGAACCACTCTAAGATGTTATTTTAGAAGTTTAGGTAAAGAAAAATGTATGCAGAATCAGGTGGATGGGTTTGTATTTCTTTAAATTTGAACATTTTGGTACAGATTCAACAAAAAATGTGGCAGATTTTGATTTAAAAAGAATATAATTGTGTTCTTAGAAATTTAGACTTTCGTTTAGCTCTTGATATAGAATTCACCCAATAAAGTCAAATTGAAAGAGAGAAAGATGGGGTATTATTAAAAGATTTTGGACTAATTATTAATCCTATAAACAGAAACACTTTAGCTAAGAGTTTTTCCCTGTGATATTTGTCTAACTTTTTCTTTAACTAATCCCAGCTTGTCAGGTTCTTGAAGTCTCTCTTTATAATCATTTTTCTTGACTTCTTCTTTGGTGATTTTAGAAATAGCAAAAAGTTTTTTTTCAAGCCTCTTATAATTCTTCGGTTGATCTTCAATATTATGAGGGTTATTTATCTTGATTTTCTCTTTAAGGGTAAATATTAACAAACTTTCAAGAGCTTAGCAGGATATTATTAATTTGTCTTACTTTTAATATTCTTGCTTCTACTTTTATCGTCTATATTCAAAGAAAAGATTATATTGTTCCTAAATGACTCAATATTTTACAGAGAATTATTGATAACTTTCAGAATAAAAATCTAGAAGACCTACACTCCTTGTCCTTGTCTTTTTCGTCTTTAAAATATAGGTGTTCTTCACTATGGATAATACATGAGCTTACCGAGGTTTCCCAGTGCATCAAGATGTTCCCATTTTTAATTTATTTTCAATTCGAGATAAATATTTTGGGGTTTTGGGGTTTTGGGGTTTTGGGGTTTTGGGGTTTTGGGGTTTTGGGG